CCGGGATGTTCTGAGGCATAACATCTCTGATCACGCCTTCCTTCGGATGGGAAGTAAAGCCGTTGGTCCCCGGTTCATGAGTTGATAGGTCGATAGGTAGGGTCCAGGTGTGGGAGCTGCCTTCCTGGCACGTCGGTAGCATTGGTGCTCAGCACGGAAAACAAGATCGACGGAAAAAAACAAACCAAAGGAAAAAAAAAACACTTAGATTTTTTTTAATGGATTTTTGGTTTACTGACTCGGTTAAAATTCAAATAACTGTTATTCGTAAATATTGGATAAATTTTTCACAGATTTTTTAAATTTTACCGAAGAGTTCCGCAATTCAAAAACTCGGTAAAAATTACTGACTCGATAAGTGTGTACTGATGTATGGTTGGTGAAGAGGCTAGCATCTGGAGGGTATTCTCGGGCTAGTGAATGCCACCAATCCCCACTTATAATTCAGTAATACACTATTTATTCATTTCTGTTTGATATGTTTACAAAGTTTGACAAACAGAAATGAGCATTGCAGTGTAGTTACCAATTTTCCATGGCTCTCATTTAAGTGGTCTAGATGCAAAGTATTTGATTGAAAGCTTTCTATGCCAACCATTGCATGAATCTGTATTATCTGTGCTTGTACAGTGATACCAACCGGTGGAAACTAACGAATTTAAATTGGCTCACTGCTTGACTAGCCTATTGGTCCCAAGCAAATCGATTAACATACCCCATTCTAGTGAAAATTCTAGTACAATATGTTTGTTTCGATTCTCTATGAAAGTTTGACAGATAAAATGAGGGGTTCGTGAATTTTCTTATGTTTCGAGGGGTGCATCGATTAGCTTGGAACCGAAGAGAGTACCAGAGCTGAGCCAAAAAGTTGAGCACGTTTCTTCGGGAACTTCTGGTCTTAGAGTTATCTCTATGGTGATACCACTAGCGGCCGCAGTAGGGGTGGCAAAGATCTGTCAAACTGATCCCGTAAGTTATTTTGTTCATTTGATAGCTATTTTTGGGTCTTTTGAGCACCATAATTTGATACACATAGGTTTTACAATGGTTCTAGAATTTTTGTACTTCTTAACCAAAATACTGGAAAACTTCACCTGTCTTTATGCCAAGCTCTATGGATCGCATTCGTTGGTTGACTTACATTCTAATGTGTTTGCTTCGGCTGGATCAGTTATCGATGAAAATTGACTGCTTTATCTTATTTTTGCCCTAACCGGAAGCCACCATCTTGCATTTCAAAATGGCATCAAATATCAATTTCTAGTCCCTATATGTCACCTCCATTCCAAAAATAGGGTAAAGAGGGTCAGTGATAGTTTCATGCCTATTTTTCGTTATTCTTGCACAATCATGTTTATTCATGGTGTCTGAAATGAAATTTGAAAAAATGAAAATTTCCTCTGAATGATTTTTAATGTTTTGTAATCAACCGTTTTTTCTATAACAAATGCAAAGTAAAATGTTAGCTTTCCTTAGGCAATACACGCCATCAGCAAAACGTTACAGGGTGAACCATACGCTTATTAAAAATTAAAAAAAAATATTTCTACATATTTTGTTATTTATCCATCGCATCATAGACAAAGATTGAAACATTGCATAAAAATATTGCAATAAATAAAAAAAAAACATGTTGTTTCACCTTTACTGGGGCAAAACGAATCATTTTTAAAGGAGCAGGATGGGCCATCTGTCAACCTAAGTTTTGGTTTGGATTTGAGGTGCATTGTGACGTTTTTGGCATTGCGCGACAGACGGTACACAAAACTGCCAAGAAAGTAGCCTAATCATTCTAAAAAATGTTATCTTAAAAATGTATTGAAAAAGGTGAATAGAAGCTGTTTTATAGTTTGCTGAGCATGGTAAATGCCGACTTCGTCAAATCATTTACCTATTATCGTGTGGGGGAATAAATAAAGTCTAAGAATGCTAAATGTTGGCCACCCGAGTCATCTGAAACGCGAAGGCCGATGTCGCTAACGATAATAGGTAAAAGTATTGATGTTGCCGACATTTATCCTATATTTTTATCATTGTTGACATACACTCAATGTTTTCACAAGGTTTAACATTTTAATATTAATTTTTGGCGACTGACCCTTTTTGCTCCGCGCTTATTCAAAGGCCACATAAAAAAAATGTTGTTCAAAAAAGTATTATCACATTTTTTTTTTTCTTGTAGTAGGGTTGCATGATACTTCATTCTATCAGAGTATACCAATAATAGCCCCCGAATAACATCACAGCGAAAGATATCACATTAGATACTTAGGTGACCCATCTTGCCTTTCCCTCCCCCGTACCCTACCCATATTGTGAGGTAAACCATGGCCCACTTAGTAATGAAACAACATGATTTGGGTCTATTTCGGATATGAATTATCAGATTTGAAAACGGTTTTCACTCAAGTGCATACTATTCCTTATATTTCAAGAAAAAATACGAAACAAATGATTCGACGCGGTTACTCGAAATTCTCGAACTTTTCCCTTTATACAACTGACTCCAAAACAAGAGCGTTTTATAAACCCAAAAAACACTGTTATTGCTATTGTTGATGTCAACAATTAGACTCCAAAAGCTTCCCAATACGTCCACTACGAGCGCTGTAATAAGCAAAAGAGTCTAATAGCGAATTAGTTTATTATCGGGGTTAGAACCAGTTCCAACCCAGTGCGAAACCGAACTTTTTGTCAGTGCGAACCTCAACCTGAGGTAGGTTTTAAAAACAAACAATCAAAATGACGTTTGTCAGAATAAAAGCAGACCCAATCTTGATACCCGATCCAGGTTGGAACTGAATAAGAACAAATTCGCTATAAGTGAGTCTAATTACTAAGTTATTTTATTTATTATGCTTATTCATATAACACATGGATCTCGATTTTGGAATCACAGCTGTTTCATCTATGTTGCCAAAATCGAGACCTACACAAATCGAAATTTTTTCCACTTGTGCTTAAATTACGTAGTATAATTAAAATAACTTCCTAGCGTAAAGGTTCATCACATTTAGCATAATATAAAATAAAATGTGATTTTTGAACAATTTCAGAATCTTAAAAATTTAATTTATTTAAATTATTTTATTTGTTATGCCTATTCTTATTATTGTTATTGCTTTTTATTATTACAGTTTAATTATTCTTATTCTCATTATTGTTATGCTTATTGTTGTATTCATTATGCTAGTTCTTATAATAATTTGGTTAAATACCCTAGTGTACGTCATAGTAAGCGCAAACCACACTTAAGCTCTTAACCACTTAAAAAATAGTAGAATGTTTCAATCAACTTCTAAATGGATTTATCAATCGCACCGGTTGATTACCAAATGAGTAACAAATTGTTGTGATAATCACCCCTATTCTGTATTTCGTTTCGAACGGAATTCTCATACAAAAAAATATTTTTTTGTATGAGAATTTCGTTCGAAACGAAATACAGAATAGGGGTGAATGATAAAATCCTTACACCACTATTAATCGCCCATTCCGTCAAACGGTTTCAATTCCGGCAGAACACATTAAAATCATTGAAATGCCATTGAAATCCATTCGACACACGAGTGCAGACTGAAGAAATGGTGTCGCTCGGCGCACTTGATTTGTTTTTGAGAAGAATGAATGTAAACATTCATTTGATGCGTTCTCATAATTATAATTTTTTTTGTAGCTTTTGAAGTAAACTGTCGTACCAAGGAGCCGATCGAGCCGATTGATTCGGCGAATTTATTGATTTATTTGATGTTTCCGCTCGATATGACGGAAATAGGCGTTTGTGCCGTAGATATTCCCTACCCTAATTTAATAAAAATCTACACCCCGATACGAGCACGATGCCAGGAACAAAATTTTGCCCCGCATCGGCTTCACGTCGGAGTGTCATTCTGATAGGAATACGCTCAAAAACGAAAATCGACACCCCGATGAGAGCCCGATGCGCCATGCAAAATTTTGTTCCACATCGGAGTCACATCAGTGCTACAAACCGAGCGAGAGCACGCTCTCGAGGTCTACAATTCCGATGTTTTGGTTGCAAATTAGCACGATACAAGGGGTCAAATCGGACTGTTTTATCGGGCTTACATAAGGCCGATAGTCCGATGCATCGGTTTCTCATCGGAGTCGCATCGGACCGACAATTCTTACTGGGTAGAGCTGTTCGTTGTGCAGTTTTGATTTGTTTCATCCATAAAAGTTCAAAATGAAGTGCAAAGCAAATCTTTGCAACAATGAGTCAAGGAATGGTTTGCTTTATCTTTCCTTCTTACGTCGTCCGGGAAATAAATCGGAATGTGGAGTGTGGAAAGCATTTTGTGCTCATAATATTACAATACTTCTCCCTCAAACAACACCATGATGACGTCATGCTCGTTTGGCTACACTAACTGACAGTTCGTTTGGCTACATTATACTTTTCCTCCGCTTATCTATGGAATCTACAGTATCTATACCTAGAACTTATACCCGCACCAAATAGTGCGAGCTGTTTCAACCACATCGCATTCGCTGGCTGAATTGACACCAGCTCAAAATAAGCAACTCGAACTCGAACTTGGTTGGATCGGCTGAATGAACGCCAAATAAGCTGCTAAACGACGAGATGCAGCATGCACTCGTCCAAGCCATGCAAGATGAACATGATGCAATATTGCTCTCAACCTATGAAACTCTTTATTTTCAAGGTTTTCCACCGCTCAAACTTAAATCACTCCGATACTCCAATCTCCGATCGTCGTTCATTCAAAAGCAAGCCAATATTCATTCATTTAAATCATCCAATCAGCTGTTGGACGCGACATCGTCAATCGTCATGCTTGCTGTGTATTCGCTCTCTTCTCATCCCGTTGGTTCTCTCCTTCCATATATTTTTTAAGAGAGTTTCTCTCTCACATACGCTAAACTATCACGCAAGCTGCTTACAACGATGTGGCTTCTAAACATTCACCCACGACACCGCCAAACCCCATCCAGTCACCGGGCACCAGGTCAGGCAGTCGTCATTCGATTTACGTTCCTCGCTCGAAGTAGAAGCAGACGGCATAGCAGAAAAGTAGAAGAGCATCATTACCGTCATCATCATTGAATCAACTCTCAACCGAGAAAGTGCATCTGTGTTTAATCAAAAACAATCAACATACCAGGAAACTGACGTACAGGTAAACAATAGTATGGTCTGATTTTCACGCTACAATAGGGCATTAGAAACAAGATTGTCTATGAAATTTCTCATGTTCAAACAAAGATGACGTGTTTCGCTTTTTGTTGTCACTATTTTTTTTAGCAACAGCGAGCTGTGCAAAGTCATTGAACATCATTGGAGGATGAACAAGAATGGACCCATCTTGGCAGCTTCGCCGGCCAGGAGTAGCGCTTCTGCAAATATTAACCTGTTTCAGGAAATCGTGATTCGCCTGATGCTCTTCGGCTTGTACGTGTAAGTATTGAGACTGTTTTTTGTTTGCGTTCGCATGTTTTTTTTTTCTATGAGATTGACGCACCACCTTCTCGTGGGGTGTCTGATGATGGTCTGCCGGCAAGCGTGAAGCTGCGTAGTTCATCTATTGTACTTAAGTCGAGGTCGACTGGGTATCAGTATTTATCACAAAAAATCAAATATTTAATTTGTTGTGCCGGGCCAGACCGTGCAGGAGGCTGACTAGTTTTAACAAGTACCATAAAACAGGGTGAAGTTGATTGAAGTGAAGTTCAATTTTAGTTTCTCTTCTATCTTGTTATAAGATAGATTTGTTTAGTATTTCATTAGGTAGTTTAAAGTAGTACCTAGAAATGTTATGGTTAGACAAATATTCAGGTTTATCGGTAAAAAGTGATCAACTTCCCCTCGATTTACGGTTCGCAAACTTTTAAGTGCGATGATACATCGATGAGCTTATTTTGTGTGCGAAATAATCGGAGGAAGGGTGCGAGTTTTAGAACAATACTTCTCTATGTGTGATTTCCAGACATGACATGAGCGTGCACTTTTTACAGTAAACATCAAAGAGAATAGTTATCCAACGGACAAACGGGAGGCAATAATTGTTTATCGTTTTGTAGAAGTGAAGTAGGTACATGTTGGTTGGGAAATTGATTAATATAACTATTGATTGTTATGAGTAGCATTAGTTGAGTGGTAGGTTGGGGATTTTACTCACCATAAAATATTAGTTAAATTATAAATAAAAACACTTACCGTGTTCAGACTACAAAGGTATAACATGTTATAATAATTATCGATAGAAAATGTCATCAAGATTAGTCTTATAACATGTTATAAGTGCTCAGTCTGACCAGTGTGTAAGAGAACATAGGACGTATTTAAATATACTTCATTCTTAAACATAAAGTTTTAATTAAATGGAATAATCATAATAGCAAGACAGAGCAAGCCTTTTCCGTTTAAATCCACTTATTACATGTGTATCCATGACAGATATGCGTGTTTTGTCTAGACAGTATGCAGACGTCATCAGTGTAAGCTTTTATTTGCGATAAATCGACGGTTGAAGTCTTTGTTTACAAAAACAGTTTCGTCCCAATGAAATGTTTCCATCGAATTGATGATGATGCACAAGCTGTTTCATGCACAGAATGGGACAAAAAAGCTGATCCTTTGGATGATCGATTACTTCTCGGTTGATCGAACCTAATTTTTAATCGATTCCCTTATACGTCTCGATTTGACTGATAATTACCGATCAATCAACATTGCAATTATTGCAATTATCGCAAGAGCCAAAAGTAGCTAACTAAGTTCGCTAGATTTGCCTGTATAGAGGTTGAGTAAAACTTACCTCATATCGTATAGTATTTGAATACAGCTTGAGGCGTTTACGTGTCAGAAAATGTTTCTTCGGAGCACAGCATCATCGAAAGTCCTGTGCATACAACACGGTGAAGAAATTGCATCAAAGTGTACTGCATTCTCTTTTATCGCGACTATTTTACGTGATTTAATTTTACGAGGTACGCGATTCACTTGAAATTACCTGATTTCAAATATGACATCCTGCAAATTAAAAATAATGCACAAAGCTAGTAGAATATTGTCTTAAGTTTTATGAGATAAATGTTCAATTTCTACTTAGGAGTTAAGTCAACTGTAGACAAAAAGCGTGCCTAAACTCTCTTATAGATGCTAAACGGGTTAAGCCTAGAGGCTCAATTTCGAGACGGTCTAACGGGCTTTGTCTAAAGGTGTTAATAGGTTTTGTTTTGCCGTAGGACTATGTCTGTGATTTCTATATGGGGGTACACTTTGTGAAAACCAAAAATGGAACATGTAACAAAATTATGAAAGATTTAGAACGTTAATAACTCAGCTGCCCCTGGACGAATTTCAATAACTTTATCACCAATCGATCAGAAATATTTCTACGCATTTGCTATGTTGTCACTTTTGAAAATAGTACAAATGTGCACTTGTTGCTATGATAATTAAAATTATCACCGATTGCCTGCGAAAAGTGATTTCCCTGACACAGTTTTCAAAGTTGAATTTCATCCGGTCTCACCAAACGGTGTTTATTCAATCACCGCGTGGTGAGCGGTGGTGTTCTTGAGTACACAATGAAAGGCTCCCCGCAAGCAGCTAGTTAACAAGGCTGCTCACAACCGCTGATCGAATTCAGTTCCAATCTCCGTGTGTGATAGTGTCCTGTCATCGGCATCAGCAGCAGCAGTGCTTTCGGCGCGTGGCTTTGAACATTGTTCTTCACCAGTACACAACGAAAGGCTGCCTGCAAGCAGCGAGCTGTAGCCCACATGAGCATCCATAGAAGGAGGAAGAAGCCGCACCCCTATTGATCGGAATCAGTAGCTCTTCGTGAGTCGCTGTGGGCCATCTATGCCAACCGCGTCAACCTAAAGAGTATAAACAGAGAGGACCCTGCTCAAATTCCTATTCATACACAAAACATAAGCTTCTGCTGCAGTTAACAAATAATATTTATTATATAAGTACACGTTGTGCTACGTCACCATTGCGTACAACCATGTACAACCCCATAGGGCTGTCCCTTGTAGTTTTTACCTTATGGATCCATTCCTAATGGATCGATTTCAGATTCAGAAATAAACTTCAGATAACACAAGAGGCTTCATGGGTTGACATCCAAACAATTTAGTACTCAATTCCGGATGATCTATGGCTTGTAAAGTCCATTCCAGATACCTTACAGTCTAAACTAGGTGACTTTATGGGTCAACTTCAAACACGTCTTGTGTCATCTCCATAGGCCTATCAAGAGCCACATGTGAAAAGGACATACAAGCATTTTGTAAACAAACCTTTGTAGGCCCTTTTCTCGCCAACAGAGGGACGCCGGCACAAACCAACAGGAAAGCTTCCCCTACCAGGTGATGTTGATGGATTGGGTTGGGCATAAGACGGTTTGTTTACAAAAAGCTTGTATGCCCTTTTCACATGTTGTTCTTGCTATTAGGCAAAATAAGAATCCTTGTGATTCAACTTAAAAGGTCCAGTGACAGTGTGTACTGCATTCTCTCCACTTTGGAGACCTTAAGGTTAACTTCCTGCTTCTGAACTTCGATTCGGCAACTACAAGTTTATGATTCAGCTTCATTTGACCACTTTGTCAAGCAGTTTTGGCGTGACTTTCTACCAGCGATTTCACAAAACTGGACCAACTAATTTCTATTTTTTTATGAAACGCACAAATGTTGGCTACTTTTCTCGAGGTTCTAGAAGAAAAAATCTCAAAATAATGTTTTATTTCAAAGTTCGAGTGGTAGTAAACGTCATTTTAGCTGCTCGAATGAAGTGGTTGTTTGCCTTAAAACAGTTAGCTGTTTTTTTTTTTTTTTTTCATTATTAGAGTGACTTTTAGCCACTGACTGGTTTAGTTAGCTAAGTGTGGCATTATTGACCAATATTGATAGCTTACCCATTTCAGGATAGGGTGCTGATAAGCCCTAATACCAACAATCAATACGAAACTAGCGATTTTAAATTGGCTCACTACTTGACTAGCCTATTGGTCCCAAGCAAATCAATTAACGTACCGCATTCTAGTCGAAATTCTAGTTATACACAATGTTTGTTTTGATTCGCTATGAAAGTTTTACAGATCATATAAGGGGTTCGTGGATTTTCCTATGTTTCGAGGGGTGCATCGATTAGCTTGGGACCGAAGATAGTACCAGAGCTGAGCCAAAAAGTTGAGGACGTTTCTTCGGGACCTACTAGTAGACTGATGCAAAATTTGACATTTTCGCTCCACAGTGCTTAAACGGTTACAAATTGGGTCCTGCTTAGCTTCCCAAAATTTGAACTACTTTAGTAAGAAACTGACTTGGCACAAACCATTTCAATTTTATATGGGAATTTCTATGGGAAAACTTATGTTTTTGTTCATATCTATCTAACAATTCACCACATCACTATGCTTTTAAAAATAATAGCAGAGATTGTAGAAAAAAATTTCAGCTACTACTTTGTTCAAAACTACTTTTTAATCAAATGTAAGGAACAAAAGTTATTAATGATTCAAGTCACTGATGTCTTATGATTATGCCTGTTCAGCAGGCAACATTGGTGTTTCTGGTGCGAAGAATAGAGCACAAATATCATGGCTACTATGTCACACTGCAGAATACAGTGTTGCCCACAATACAGTTGCTTAATCTTGCCATAAGATTATCAATCTCTGAAACAATTAATAACTATTTAATTTGACATTTGGCTGAAAAACGCAATTCAGCAAAGTTGTAGCTTAGAAAATTTCCCGTAAGAATAGTTATAGAAATTTTTGAAAAAGCAATATGGAAAATGGGTAGAAGACAATGAACAAAAAGTTTGGCTTTCCCAAAGTAACTTCCATTCCAAAGATTCTTGAATTTCCATAAAGTTCTGCAGATCTATCAGAAATTCTTTGAAATTCACCAAAGCTCTACAGAATATCTGAAAATATTTTAACTACGCTGAAGTTTTAAAAATTTATCTGAAGAATTACGAATTTCTCTGAAGTTGTGTAAATCTATATATATAAAAGTGGATGTATGTTTGTATGTTTGTATGTTTGTATGTTTGTATGTATGTTCCAGCATAACTCTGGAACGCATGGACCGATTTCTACCAAACTTGGCATACGTATTCCTCACTTTAAGAAGATGGTTATAGGGTGATTGGGAAGACGGGGGGTCCGAAGATTAAGCCGAGGGGCTATCAAAAGTATAGTGTGCTTCGATTTTTTTTGCATTTTTGGTACCTTTACACCACATGTAAAATGTTACAAGACATGAAAAATGTTGCACGACACGAAAAATGTTGCACGACATAAAAATGTTTCACGACATAAAAATGTTGCACGACATACAAATTGTTGCGCGACACGAAAAATGTTGCACGACATGAAAAATGTTGCGAGTATGAAATATTTTGAATGACCTGAAAAATGTTGCGTAACATGAAGA